AATTCAGGTACAAAGCCACACAGAGGGATCACTACCTTCTGGGAGTTTAACCTCAGCATCCGTGGCCTTTAACACCTCATCTTCTATGAGGACAAACAAATCAGAGAGTTTGATAGTGAAGGTCTACTTGCTGATAACAGAAAGCCAAACTAGCACAGCAAGTGGTGCAAGCAACAAAAACTTGACAATAAAAGAAAACAGTGGTGATTTCAGGCGTCTCAGAGTGACTTCTGGCACAGAGTCTCTCTTTTGACTCTGGTTATTCTGACTGAAAGTAGGGGTGGGCGATATAAACGATATACGATAGAAACAATATAAATTTGGCCAACGGTAGAGATTTTGACTATATCGCTCTATCGCGATAGCGCATATTGATGATGTCATCAAGCTGCGCCTGTTTTGGTCGAAAGCATCGCAGCGGCTAAAACCATTATCATCTGCAATTTATGGCGACAGTCACAGCAAAGAGGTAAAGAGATGAAGCACTTTTGAAATAAGGGGAAAGCCAAAAACTGCGCTTCCTCCACTTCCGTAACATTGATTCATTAATGTTGAATTCTCTCGCAGCTGCTCTATTCCCATGTTGTTGCAGTATATTAATAACTAACCTCGTATTGTGGATGAATGATCTCAGTTGTTCTCCTGACTGAAGTTTGGCCCGTGTATAGCATCCTGCTATGCGATTGCATTTGTCCCTGACCACCAGAATCTCTCACGTTAACTTTTAATGAGTGGAAAAAAGTTGGCGTTCATCCTCCAGCTTCACTGTGCTAATGTTATGCTAACATAGCTGTGTCGCTAGCAATCACGTAGCCCAACATGTTTAGGTGGAAGCTAGCGAGCTAACTTCCTGTTAACTTCTAACTCTGTTAAATTTAATAAATCCTGTTTTCATGGACGTTAAACTTAATTGTTACACCTGGTAAAGCAGCAACGCTGATGGTTTAATTAAAGATGAAAGAATTTAGACCGTTTTTTTACTCTCAGTATTCGTTTGACTTTGGGACCTGAATCTGACAGAGTTTAGGACCCAGATTACTCCGCGAAGCTCCTCACTACGGCAGCCGTAATGCTCTGACAATCCATCAAGCAGTGCGGCTTACCAAAGTTGTACTAAAACATTTTTTAACAGATTTCTGCCAAAATCGGTTCGAGGTCAGTAAGCACAACCAGAATTCATACATAAGGCACACTCTCGATTTTTGAGAAAATTAAAGGATTTTAAGTGTGCCTTATAGTGTGGAAAATACGTTATACAGAAGAAAAGAATATATCGTGATATATATCGTTACCGCACGTGTTTCAAATTATATCACGATATGAATTTTAGGCCATATCGCCCAGCCCTAACTGAAACTAACATTTCTGAGCTTCATGCCTTGGCATCACTGGTCTGAAATAACTTCAGTGATCTTGTAACACTTCAGTCAAAGCTGAGGATGTAGCCACAACTTTTACTCGAGATAAACACTCTCAAACAAGTGAAAACATTACTGTATTTAATGGTATTAGTGCATTTCAGAATATCTGTGATAGACAAAAAAGCACAAACAGAGCCACTAAACAAAGTCATAAACGACCTCACTGTGTAACAAAAAGGCAGACAGTTAGAGAGTTACGGCTGTTATGGGCTCAGTCACTCAGCATCAAACGGAGTCGTGCAGATACCTTTCCTTCTCCCTCTCTTCTTCACCTCTTTCTGCTCCTCTGCAGGGTTTAAGAAGCAGATACACCTGTCAGGTGAGCGCACGGCAGGCTGTGACCTCACACAAACAGAGTCTCTGTACACTACCTTTCCTCAGCCTGTCTCTCCTCAGAGCATGGCCTTTTAACTTCTCATCATCTGAACCGATGCACAGAATAAAAGGAAGGTAAACACAATCAGCTGTGACAAAAATAAATAAACAAATTGTGCTCGTGCAGGTTTTTCCTGCACAGACGAAGTTTGTTGAACCTTCGGAGGAATCAGACCGAGATCTTAACAGGTCGTCTGCGAAGGTTCTCAGTCATCCAGGTCATCGTAGTCCAAGGAGCTCGGAAAGAAAAGCGTCTGGACTTCTTTAGTTTCGTTGAAGACGTTTCATGCGAGAAGCTTCTTCAGCTCTAAGAGCAACGGGAGGAGAGTCCCAGGATTTAAGCCCTAAAGAAGTCCAGACGCTTTTCTTTCCAAGCTCCTTAGACTGTCTGAACAGGTTGTTAATCAGACTTTCAGTCATGCATAAAAGACATTTACAATTAAAGTTTCCATAAATAACAGCACGATTTAAAGACACTGCTGTTAAATGAGATAACAAAAATCCATTCAGGACATCATCCTTATGTTTCACTCCCTAAAAGTAAATTATAACTGAGGTGAAGATGCTCTTATGCTTTCTTTACAACACCATATAATACGAAGGTTTGAAGTTCAAACACTTACAAGTTTATATTTTAGAAAAATTCATATATTAACTGTTTAATCTGTTTTTGTTGATAATTGGCGAAGCCTAGATGTACGAGGCCACCGTAGAGAAAATAATTAATGCGTCTTTGATCTGCACTTTATTACATTTCTCATCACAGGTGCATCCTCTAGCTCAGTGTTTCCCAACCACTGTGCCGTGGCACATAGGAGTGCCGTGAGAAATGATTAGTTAGTGATCGGTACTCTCAGTGACCAGCGTAAGTGACAGGCAGAACAATTACATTCTCTTCCACTAGAGGGCAGTACAACTACTGACCCAGATGAAGGCCCTAGCTTGGGTAGTGGTCAGAAGAAAGCAAAAAAGGTACACTGGGGACAAACTGAGCCAATTCTGCTGCGCCTGATCCGTCGGGGGAAACGATCAATATGCTGTTTGTGACATTTTTGCTCAGTGTGATTTTTCTAATGTGAAATATGTGCCGTGGCTCCATAACGTTGGGAAACACTGCTCTAATCGTCTGCAGCTTTGAACACAAAAAAGCCCAAAAAGTGATCCAAAGGTCAGAGGTGAGAGGTCAAACATAAGATGTGCACATTAGTGTTTTACAGGCAGAAAAATATAAATTTTGTTAAAATGCACAAAGTGTTAATAAGAAAAGCACACGAGCAGCTGATAACCACCTGATAGCTGATGTTAGGTTAACTGAAGCCAGATAAGGTGACGATGTCGGGCTATGCTGAGCCTGCTGTGAGGTGCAGGCATCAGGGAAGAGCAGCTGACCAATCAGAAACATGGACGTGTCTGCAGAGCGACCGACTCTCCAAACAAAGGCAGAAGCAGCGCGTGTGCATCGTGTATATTAATAAAGTTTATTTAAAGCCAGGAAGGGCTGTAAGCTAACAGACTCATTACTATCACAGCTCTCATGATGACACAGCTACAGCTAAAATTGCATTAATTTAATTTAAACCTGTGCAGAGTTTAGAAAGCAGACCTTCAGCTGCAATCGTGCTGATGATAAATGGGGAACAAGTCAACACATACGAGCGGTAAGTGCTCTATTTTAGGATTTCTGAGCTTATAGAACAGTGACCATGTTTTTACACCCAACAATCTTTGGTCCTCTTACGCTCTGAGCTCTGAGGGATCATGGCAGGACTTGAGGTGGTGATTTCATACTAGCTGATCTCTTATCTCAGCAACAATCAGCTGTGCAGCAGGTTAGACCAGCAGCACAAGTTACCACAAACAGCAAACCTTCTTTATAACCCTGGAAACTCCCAAGTGACCTCACAAAAGTCCGAGTTGTGTTTCTGCGCCACTGGTATGAAACGACTGCAAACTGATCGATACGTAACAACGCAGAAGCACGCACCACGAATAAGCTCCAAACTACTCCAACGACAGATTTCTGATCAGTTTTAGCAACATCGCCGTAAAGATTTTAAAACTGACCTGAATGAAACCGCGTGACATCACAGCCCTGCTTTTTGTTACCGAAACGCAGACACACAGTGTGCAGAGAAAATAATCACAACAGCTTATGGGCTCAAATACATTACGCACAAATGTGTTTGTGCACCAAGTCCAGCACTTTACAATAAAATAAGTCACAAACACATTTATGCTGCGTACAAAAATGAGAAAATAAAGGTGAGTAAAGAGGATAAATGCCCTCTGTGACATCAAAGATCGTGACCTGTGACCACAGATATTTTAGGATAACTGATTTTATATTACATAATGCTTATACAGAGGACCAAACATGTAAACATTAATTAAATTAAATAACTAATATATTGAATATTTCACTGTTAAATGCATCATAAATTATACAGAAATGAATAAAGGTGTTTATAGTTTAAGTAAACGTGACAATAATTACTTTCCCTTTTGAATAAATTCTGAATTTTTCTATTGAATTATTTTTTATTGGCTTCCCTTTGACTGGTTGTCAGTGGTGTCTTGTAGTATTTTATTTCTATATTGTGAATTATTTACTGCCTTGTTTACTTTGTTACCCTGGCACTTTCGAACCTCCGTACGGTGCAGCTACAGCACCAAAGCTCTCGTTTTGTTCACGGTCGGTCGTTACGTCTTCTGCCTGTTTTAAAATGTATCATGAATGAGAGCGGAGGTAACAGCTGGGTTCAATTCAAACTCGTTATCGTCCCTAAAAATTCCTCCAGTTGCCTCTAGCACCTGCTTTACCGTTTGACCTCTGACCTCGCAGGACATTTTTATCTGATGGAGAAAATCTGTTAATGTCAAACAAACGAATCCCGTCGATCGTTATCTGGAATCACTTCAGCCTTCAGTTCTTCCTGCTTGTGGTGTTTCGGATTTATTAAATTAAAACCAGTCTGCCCTGTTTGGCCTCCTCCAATCATACTGGGCTACAGCACATCCCAGTCTGGTCGGGACCAGGCAGCCTCCCTACCGCCTGTGTCTCTGCTATTGGTTCTGGAGGTCCAGTATGACCCCTTTAACCTCCCCGTCATCCGAGGAGGCTGTCCCGCCCTCCTCCTCCTCCTCCATCATCTCAGAGGCCGCCGCTTCCTCCTCCTCACCTGGCTCTAAGGGCGAGGACACTACGTCATAAAGGAAGGTGAAGAAGCCATAGATCCAATCAGAGCCCTCCTCAGCTAAAATATTAAGAACCTCCTCGAGCGACTCGGCATTCGCACTACCGCTGCCATCTTTGGTCAGGCCTGACGGAAGAGAGAGGAAGAGAAGAAAAGGGAAGGGTGGAAGTGCAGAGGAGGAAATTATAAAGGAAAAGAAGTGGAAATGATGCGATGGAGGGAGGATGGACGGGGGAGTAAACTGGAACAAAAAAGTATGGTAAAATAAATAAACACAGGGTGATGAGACAAGAGAAAGATAGTGAGTTAAAGATGAATTATAGACATTTAATAAAGATTTTACTTCCTGTCTCAACCACGTCAGATGACCTCTGACACGACGTCCGCTCAATAACGTTCCTGCTAAGTCTACTTCAAACACGACATCTATAACACAGCTTCCCATTAAGCCTTCATACTGCCAGCGGATGCTGTCAACACTCAGGTTACAATACTTGCCTGGCCCAATCAAAATAAAGACTAAATACATTTCTTATTTCCGGTTGGCTGATTAATCTAAACTCTCAGTTTCAAGCAGTCAAGGAGGGTTTCACCTGATATGGTCATGTCACACAAGCCCCGCCCACATTGCTTAAAGGAAGCAGATACTATGGCTCAGATCAGACATAAGATGAACTGATGGGGTTACAAAGAAGGATTATTCTAAACTGGGAATCACGCAAAGCTGCCGTGGTAGAGTCTGAAAACACCACCTCCTGTTTGCACTCTCGGTCACTGTCTTCAGTTTACTGACAACAAAACCTAAAAAAGTAAAAGCTCTCGGTTTCATGAGATCATCTTTGAAGTGAAAGAGCAGAAAACTGATCTTTGAGATACATAAACAGGTTTCAAATGAAAAGTTTTTGTTGAAGGTAAGCAATGACAGTTGTTGAGAAACTCAAAGAAAAGTGTCCAAAAAAAAGAGAAGAGGCTAAAAATCATGGAAGCAGAAAACGATCCCTGCAGCTGCAGCAGATCCATTTCTACCTGAAGATCAGAGGCTGTGCTGTGGTTGGTTTAAACACTAGTTTTCAAACTGGAGACAGCTGCGTAATAAAGCTTTAAAATTGAGCCAAGTCGAGGTTTTGTAAAAGCAACGTAACACTAAGTGCTAAATCTGAAGCAGTGAAATAATGAACGGGTTTAAGGCCCTTCTGAGACCTCAATACACTAAATTTAAGTAGAAATGAGGGAACATGGTCTCCTAGTTCTACTAAGGTATAGAAATATTCAACAGTGTATTGATCCCTTCAGCACTCTGATCATTGATTGTTTATTGTGCAGGACTTGTGAAACTCTTCGGCGTTACAGAACGTTTATCTTTCCATCCATTTTCTCCGTATGTTGTTCGAGGTCATGGTGGTAGCGAGCTGAACCTCCCTTTCCTTGACCTCTCCTCGGACACACCCTTCAGCGTTCCCAAGCCCTCTGAGACACATAATCTCTCCAGTGCGCCCGGTGGTCTCCACCCAGCAAGACTTGAGTGAACCACCCAATCTTAGAAGTGTCCAGCAGGAGCAGCTCGAGCCAGAGCGTCTACCGAACGACCCCACGTCTCAGAAGAAGGCTGCTGTGCCAGCTTTCTGTGGCTTAGGGATTCGTAATAATATGCATATGTAATGTATAACTTAACCATGAAAGAGGAAGTAGAAGTATGAAAACATACAAAAAGGCCAATTCTTATAACATCCAGATGTTCAGCTGATGTCTATTTACTAATAACTTGAAGAAGCTTGACCATGACGTCCTCCTCTCATGTGGGAAAAGCCTACCTTACTTTCTCTTCATGCTGGAGATCCAGCCCCTACTGAGTGTCTCATTTTTCCCAACCAACCAGCCGACAATCAAAACTTTGCGCCGCGTAACTACACCCTGAAACGTGACAACACGCCTGCTGTGCCTCATGTAACACGACCGTTTAAGACCTTCTTCTCTTGATTTATAAATTCATACTTGATAGAATTTAGCAACGACCTGCAGGGACACTGATACAGTAGATGAGGCCCTGAGCTGCAGCTCATTTTCATTTATTTTTATTGCAGTTCTGCGGTCGTCTTTATATTTGCATGCTTCCCCTGTTCTACAGCACCATCTCAGGGTTTTTTCCTCTATTAGCAATGGACTCGTGGCCGACACACTTTCACCTCTGAGCATCTCGTCTGTGTTTGCAGTCACGCTGCTGACTCTGTGTTAAACCTGTGATGCTTCAGCTGGTTTTCAGCTCAGTTTATGTTTGACGGGTTAATCTCTGAATCCGAGGCACTGTCACACGTCTGTAAACCACATCAGGCAGAAAAGCAGGCAGCAAACAGCAGAATTAAAGCAGACTTGCCGAGCAGAACTTTGGCGTCCTCCACGTCAAAGTCTCCGTCTCCGTCTGTGTCGTAGGCCGTCAGTTTACCTGGAGGAGGACGAGGAGATGAAGTTAGACCAACAAATTCTGAAAAACACTAAGTTGTTTGTGCATGCAGCTACCAGGGTCAACTTTAAAGTTGTCTTTGTCTCATATTTTCTATGTGCCACTCGTCTTGGATCATACTGAATAAAACTTTAAGCCCTTGTTGTAAATTTTGGTTTTTCTAAGAGTCG